TTATGTGGTGCTGAGGAATCGAACCCAGGGCCTCATGCATGCAAGGCAAGCACTCTACCACTGAGCCACCTTTCCACCCCGTCTTCTTTTTTTGTGAGTACATTTCTTATCAAGCTTTGTTGCCTCCTCCTTTGTTTCCCCTTCCCATCCCTTCCCATATTCCCCCCCATCAGCACTCCCCAGATCCCAGTATTCACATATACCTGATGACAGTGTCCACACTCCTTGTGTCCACACTCACCAATCCCAGTGTGCACAATCCCCCTATTCCAGTTTACAACTCTATAGATCCCAGTGTCCACACTCCCAGATCCCCATGTCCACACTCTCCAAATCACAGTGTCCAAAGTCCCCGGATCCCATTGTGTACCATCCCAGATCCCTGTATCCACACTATCCAGAGTCCAGTGAGCACACTCCTTTAATCCCAGGTTCCACACTCCCCATATTCAAGTGTCAACACTCCAAAGAAAACAGTGTGCAAACTCCCCACACCCCAGTATCCAGACTCCAAAGATTCCAGTGCCCACACTGCCCAGATTCCCATGTCCAATTCCCCAGATCCCAATGTCCACATTCTCCACATTGCAGTGCTCATATTCCCCCCAACCCAGAGTTCATACATCCCCTACACCAGTGTCTAAATTCCCCAGGTACCAGTGTCCACTCTCCCCAGATACCAGTGTCCACACTCCTCAGATTTCAGGATTCACACTCCCTCGATCCCAGTGAGCACATTCCCCCTATCCTAGTGTACACACTCTCCAAATGCCAGTGTCCACACTCCTAAGCTCCCAGTGTCCATCGACCCAGATCCCAGTGTGCACACTACCCACAGTCCAGTGTGCCCACTTCTCTGATCCCAGGTTCCACACTCCCCATATCCCATTGTCAACACTGCAAATTATACAGTGTCCCCATATCCCAGTATCCAGACTCCATGGATTGCAGTGTTTACACTGCCCAGATCTTGGCTCCACACTCCCCCAATCCCAGTGTCCACACTCTCCAGATCTCAGTGTCCACACTCCTCACACTTCAGTGTTCACAGTGCATGGACTCAGGTGTCCACATTACTCAGATCTTATTGTTCTCAATAATCACAGTGTCCACACTCCCCCGATCCCAGTGTCCACCCACCTTAGATCCCAGTGACCACACTCCCCACACTTCAGTGTCCACAGTGCATGGACCCACGTGTCTACATTCCCCAGATCTTAATGTCCTCACTAATCACAGTGTCCACAATCTTCAGATACCAGTGTCCTCACTCCCCAGAGTGCAGTGTGCAGACTCCCCAGATTCCAGTGGCCACACCCCACAGAGCACAGTGTCCACACTCCCCAGATCCAATGTGCAAAATACCCAGATCCCTGTGGCCACACTGCTCAGTTACCAGTGTAAACACTACCCAGAGTCCAGTGTGCACACTCCTCTGATCCTAGGGTCCACACTCCCCAGATCCCTGGGTGCACTTTCCTCAGACCCACAGTCCACACAATCCAATTCCCAGTGTCCACACCCCACAGAGCAGTGTCCACACTCCCCAGAGTTTAGTGTCCTCACTACCAAGATCCCAGCGTCCATAATCCATAGAGTCCATTGTCCACATTCCTCAGATACCAGTGTCCACACTCCCTAGATCCCAGAGTGCACAGTCCCCAGACTCCAGTGTTCAAACTCCTCATATATCAGTGTACAAACTTACCAGAACCTGTGTCCACACTCCCAGATCCACATGTCCACACTCCCCAGATTCCAATGTCCACAATATACAGAGTCCAGTGTCCACATTCCCGACATCCAAGGATCCATATTGCCCAGATCCTAGTGTCCACACTCCCAACAACACTGTGTCCACAATCCTAATATTCCAGTATTCACACTCTGTAGAATCCGGTGTCCACACTCTCCAGATCCCAGTATCCACACCCTCCAGATCCCAGTGTCCACACTCCCTAGATCCCAATGTCCATATTCCCCCAATCCGAATGTTCACACTCCCCTGATCCCAGTGTTCACCCTCTCAGCTCCCACTGTGCACACTACCCACAGTCCAGTGTGCCCACTTCTCTGATCCCAGGTTCCACACTCCCCATATCCTAATGTCAAAACTGCAAAGAGTACAGTGTCCCAACTAACTATATCCAAGTATCCAGACTCCATAGATTCTAGATGACAGTTTCCACAATCCCCAGCTGCTGATGTCCCCACACCAAAGATCCCAGTGTTCATATTCCCCCGATCCCAGGGTACACACTCCCCAGTTCCCATTGTTCACACTCCCCCTATACCATTGTCCACACCCCAGATTCCTGTATCCACACTCTCCAGATCCCAGTGTCCACACTCCTCAGATCCCAGTGTACACAACCCAGATCCAAGTGTGTACACTGGGATCAGGGGAGTGTGAACATTAGGATCAGGGGAATATGGACATTGGGATCTAGGAAGTGTGGACACTGGGATCTGGGAAGTGTGGACACTCGAAACTAGTGAGTGTAGACATTGGATCTGGGGAGTGTGTACACTGCTCTGTGGGGTGTGGACACCGTGCTCTGTGGGGTGTGGACACTGGCATCTGGGGAGTCTTCACACTGCACTCTGGGGAATGTTGACTCCGGATCTGGGCAGTGTGGACAGTGGAATCTATGGAGTCTGGATACTGGGATATGGGGAATTTGGACACTGTACTCCTTGGAGTGTTGACACTGGGATATGGGGAGTGTGTAACCTCAGATCAGAGAAGTGTGCACACTGAGATCTGAGGAGTGTGGACAGTGGGATCTGGAGAGTGTGGACATGTGGTTCTTGGAGTATGGATATTTGGATCTGGGGATTGGTACTGGTATAGGGGGAGTGTGTACACTAGTATCAGGGGAGTGTGGACATTGGGATCTGGGGAGTGTGGACACTGGGATCTTGGAAATTTGGACACTGGGAAATGGGGACTGTGGACACTGGGATCTGGGGAGTGTGCACACTGGACTCTTGGTAGTGTGTAGCCTGGGGCTTGGGGGTTTGGACACTAGGATCTGGGGAGTGTGGACACTGGGATCTGGGGAGTGTGGACACTGACATCTGAGGAGTGTGTACACTGGGATAGGGGGAATGTGCTCACTGGGATCAAGGGAGTGTGAATCCTGAAATCTGAGGATGGTGGACACTGGTTTCTGGGGAGAGTGGACACTGGTACCTGGGGAGTTTGGACAATGGTATAGAGGGAATGTGAACAATGGGAACTGGGGAGTGTGTATACTAGGATCGGGGGAATGTGAACACTGGGATCTGTGTTGTGGGGACATTGGCATCTGGGGAGTGTGGGCACTGTGATCTGGGTAGTGTGGACACTGGAATCTATGGAGTCTGGATATTGGGATGTGGGGAGTTTGGACACTGTACTCCTTTGGGTGTTAACATTGGAATATGGGGAGTGTGTGGAACCAGGGATCAGAGGAGTGCACACACTGGACTCTAGGTAGTGTGCACACTGGGAATTGGGTTGTGTGGACACTGGGATCTGGGGATTGTGCACTCAGGGATCTGGGTAGTTTGGACCCTGAGTTCAGAAGAGTGTACGCACTGGGCTCTGGATAGTGTGCACACTGGTATCTGAGCAGTGTGAACACTGGGATATGGGGAGTGTGAACATTGGATCTGGGTAGTATGTACACTCTGCTTGGTGGGTTGTGGACACCGGCATCTGGGGAGTCTGCACACTGAACTCTGGGTAGTATGGATAATCATAACAAGGGAGTTAAGACACTGTGATTAGTGAGTACACTAAGATCTGGGGAGTGTGGACACTTGAGTTCATGGACTGTAGACACTGAAGCATGGGGGGTGTGGACACTGGTATCTTGGGAGGGTGGACACTGGGATTTGGGCAGTGTGGACACTGGAATCTATGGAGTCTGGAAACTGGGATGTGGGGAGTTTGGACACTGTATTCTTTGGATTGTTGACAGTGGGATATGGAGAGTGTGGATCCTGGGGTCAGAGGAGGGTGTACACTGGACTCTGGGTCATGTGAACACTGGGATGTGTGAGGGTGGGCACTGGGATCTGGAGAGAGTGGACACGGGGAACTGGGAGTGAGGACACTGGGATCTATGGAGTTTGGAAGCTGGAATAGGGGGATTGTGCACACTGGAATCTAAGGAGTTTGGACACGGGGTTAGGGGGAGTATTAACTCTGGATGAGGGGAGTATGAACACTGGGATCTTGGGTTTGTGGACATTTAGATCTGGGGAGTGTGGACACTGGAATCTATGGATTCTGGGGTGTGGGGAATATGGACACTGAGACTTTGGCAGTGTGAACTCTGGAATCTATGGATTCTGGATACTGGGATGTGGGGACTTTGGACACTGTACTACTCTTTGGAGTGTTGACACTGGGATATGGGGAGTGTGGAACCTGGGATTACAGAAGTGTGCACACTGAACTCTGGGTAGTATGGACACTGGGATCTGGGTGGCAGACAATGGGTTCTGGGAAGATTGGACACTGTGATCTGGAGAGTGTGGACACGGGGGTTTGGGAGTATGGACACTGTGATCTGGGAAGTGTGGACACTGTTTTCTGGGGAGTATGGACACTGGGCTCTGGAGAGTCTGGACACAGAGATATGGGGAATGTGGACAATGGATTCTGGGGAGTATAGACACTAGAATCTGGGGAGTGTGGACACTGGACTCTGAGGAGTATGAACAATGATATCTGGGAAGTGTGGACACTGGGATCTGGGGAATGTGGAGACTGACATCTGGAGAGTGGACTCGAGGATCTGGCAGTGTGGATATTGGGATCTTGGGAGTGTGGACACTGGGATAGGGGAGTGTGCACACTGGGATCTGAGGAGTGTGGACACTGTGATCTGTGGACTGTGGACACTGGGATTTTGGGAGTGTGGACATTGGACCTTGTGGATTGTGGACACTGGGATCTGATCTTGGAAGAGAGAACATTGGACTCTGATGAGTGTGGATACTGTGCTCTATGGGGTGTGGACACTGGGAATTGAGTTGTGAGGTAACTGGGTCTGAGGAATGTGCACCCAGGAATCTGGGGAGTGTGGACTCTGGGATCAGAGGAGTGTGCACACTGGACTCTGGGTAGTGTGCACACTGGGATCTGGGAAGAGTGAACATTGGATCTCAGGAGTGTGGACATTGTGCTCTGTGGGATATGACCACTGGCATCTGGGGAGTCTGCACACTGCACTCTGGGGAGTGTGTACACTGGTATCTGGGAATGTGGACACTGGTATCTGAGAGTGTGGACACCGGACTGTGATTAATGAGAACACTAAGATCTGGTAATGTGGACACTTGAGTCCATGGACTGTGGAAACTGAGACATGGGGAATGTGGACACTGGGGTCTTGGGAGGGTGGAAATTGAGATGGGGGAGTGTGGACCCTGGATCTGGACAGTGTGGACACTGGAATCTATGGAGTCTGGATACTGGGATGGGGACACTGGGATGTGAGAAGTGTGGATCTGGGGATAGAGGAGTGTACACACTGAACTCGGGGTAATGTGCACACTGGGATCTTTGAGGGTGGACACTGGATTTGAAGGGTGTGGACACGGGGATCTGGGGAGTTTGTACACTGGTATAGGGAGAGTGTGAACACTGGGATATGGGGAGTATGGACATTGAGATCTGGGGAGTGTGGACACTAGATCTGGGGAGCGTGGTCACTAGGATCTGAGGAGTATGGACACTGGATCTTGGGAGTGTGGTCAATGGGTTCTGGGGAGTGGGGACACTGGAGTCAGAGGAAATGTACACAGGGATCTGGGAGTGTGGACACTGGGACCTGGGGTGTGTGGATACTGGGAGTGTGAACTCCAAGATCAGGGGAATTGTCGGGTCTTTGTCCATCCCAGGACGGACTAGGTCCGAGGAAAGGTAAGTGCGGCCGCTCTCCTGTTTCCCAGCTTCCCTCAGCCTGGGGGACAATCAGATGCAGTGGGGAGTCAAGTCAAGCAGGAACCCGTTTATTAACACAGAGTATGCCTTTTTTAAAGCAAAAGACTGGGTGGGAGGGGAGGAAATGGAACCAACCAATCACTGTAAAGGCCACACCTTATCATGCACCTAAGCTCCATGAGTTGTTTATTCACTGAATGTAAACAAATCCAGCTCTGCCCACTCAACTTCCTCTCAGGGCCATCTTTGCTGCCTGTGTTCCCCACAGGGAATGTGAACACTGGGACCTGGAGGGTGTGGATACTGGGATCTGGGGAGTGTGGACACTGCGTTCTAGGGAGTTTTGACACTGGAATATTAGGAATGTGGACACTCAGTTGTTGAGAGTGTGGACACTGGGATCTAGGCAATGTGGATCCTGGGATGTTGGGAATGTGGACACTGGACTCTGTGTATTGTGGACACTGGGATCTGGGGAGTGTGGAAACTTGGATCTGGGAGTGTGGACACGGGATCTGGGAAGATGGTACACTGATATACAAGAAGTTTGTACACTGGAATCTGGGGAGTGTGTACACTGAGATATGGGGAGTGTGGACACTGGGATCAGGAGAGTGTTTACACTGGGATCAGGGGAGTGTGAACATTGGGATCAGGGAAATATGCACAATGGGATCTAGGGAGTGTGGACACTAGGATCTGGGCAGTGTGGATACTGGAATCTAAGGAGTGTAGATATTGGATCTGGGGAGTGTGGACACTGTGCTCGGTGGGCCGTGGACACTCTGCTATGTAGGGTGTGGGCACTGGCATCTGGGGAGTCTTCACACTGAACTCTGAGGAGTGTTGGCTCCGGAACTGGGCAGTGTGGACA